ATGCATAGAAGCGATTGCATCGAAGTTCCGTTAGCCGACGCTACGGTCCGACTTGAACACGGTATACCAGCTCGAGCGGCGGATCGATATCAAGAACATTGTGGGAGTCATACGAAGATTAAATGCCTTGCGGCGCACCTCAATTGGTCTTTTTGACTTTGCTCTATCAAGTGTCAAATCCTATTACATTGCTTGTTCAAGAATTGGTCGAACTACTCAATACAACTTGATCAGAAGATAACAAGGTCTGTGGAATATAAGCGGAAGCGAGATCATAGTGCCTTGGAGTTGGAGCGCGCTAAGCTTCAAAAACGGTCTTTTTCTGTTGCATCCCAACGAATGTCGACGTCGATCAACCGCAGCGGGCCAACTGATGCGTCGCGTTCGGTCCCGGCATTGGATGTCGACCATTGAAAATGTGAATGCGGCCAGTGTTCTCTGATGAGAGAGAGAGCATATTCCTCGAAATTTAGATGTCATGTATGAGCCACCCATGGCGGCTGAGGCAACCGTAGGTTCAGGAGGCCGAAAAATATGCGTATCCGTTAGGTTTCAATATAGGAGGCTTACAGAAACGATTTTTTCTACACGTTTGTATCCTCTTACCGGAGGACTGCAGTTAAGCAAGTGTATAAATCGGTAAAAGATAAAATTGCTTCGGTCGGTGGAAGCTTTATCCTTGATCAAACACCCAAAACTTCCCGATGTAAGAAATGCGTAACATTAGAGAGCTTAGAAAGGAAGCACGAGGTGCTGTTAAGCGGTAGGTCAAATGATGAGTGACGTGAAAGCCAAGTAATGAGTGACGTGATTGTCATTCTTCATAGAGATATTTGTATTTGTTCGCAGGTCCGGTTCATTGCAGGCTAAGATCTTCTGCGGTACTAGTGTTATCCATTTCATCATGCTGACGTCCAGAATTATGAGTGCCTAACCTTCGCGGTGGTTCCACTATTTATCCATTTTTCCATTGAGTTATTTTCCGTTCTGAATTCAGAGGGTGGCCTGTGAAGGCGATCTGCATACCACGGAGGAACCCAAGGCGCGTTGACAATTTACGTACAAAAGCCATTCCCTTTGTTCTGCTCAACACCTTCAAGAAGGAGCGTGTGCAACTGTGTTTTCAAGTTTGAGTGGAACCGAGCGAGCATCTCTTGTCACAGCTGTTGCTTCAGGCTTTATGAACTGCACGGTTGCTGATCGAACATCATGTATGTACAGCAGTCCGATTCATCAAAATAGAACAAGTGTTTAATGTAGATCTAGGAATCGGGGGAAGTAAATATTAAGAGTCCCCTAAAAAGTTTTTCCATTGTCATTTCCGCTTGGAATACTTGCCTTAATCGTGTCATTGTTCTCAGCACTGCTTTACGTGAGTACAATTACATTACATTAATGAGCTAATAGAGGCTGTACTTAGTTGGTGATAAGGTGATTAGTCGAATGAGGTTTAAAATAGTTCACCCTTCCGAGTCTTGTTCCTGGTAATATTTGCTTAAAACTGCCACGTTCCATTTCGAAGAATAGTGACGTCTAAGATCAAGTATGATAGGCTGTAATGTTCACAAATTTGCGCATTCACTTACACATACAGTTCAGCCAATTTTCTTGTCGCTAAAAGACTGAACAGCTGGACTTAAAAATCCATATTGCAGATGGTGTTGTCGGAAACGAATGGGGAAGGAAAAGAAAGGATTTTTATGGAACGGAGTGAGTTAATTGGTCGTTGGCGCTATGTAAACTTTCCAAGTTTTGTACTTAAGTTTTCCAACTTATTTTTTTTTACTTTTCCTTTTAGTTGTTTTCTCTTTTTCATATTCACTTGATCTTGAAGTTACGTGATTGACAGTCACAATGCTCGTTTACTATGATTTTTCGGCACTTGAAAACAATTTTCATGCCATTACTACCTAATCTATTCGAGTCTGACAAGATCTTGAAGACGTTATTCTGTTTCATTCCATTTTCCTTGTTGCATTCTAGATATGTTGACGAGGATTGGGGAGGGATGCGCGAAGAAGAACTTGAAGATGCGGAGCTTGAAGAAGAAGACGCGGCTGGTAGACAGGCTGCTCTGGATAAGGCAGCCGCTGTGACAGCTGATTTGTTTGAAGAGCAAGAACACACCGAAGGGCCGCAGACGGTACCTTCGTCTTCCTCTAAATGTCTTCGATGTTCACATTTATTTTGGGCAGCTTTCAAATTAGTTATATTTTGTTTGAAATCAGAGGAAGATGTTAACTGCAAGAAATTCATGAAATTTCAACTTGTGGAGAACTTCTTCAGTGTGCCTTTTGAATTGTTGAATGTTCAAGGTAATCAAGGAAACTGCCGTGGAATGGGAATTTGCAGCAGTTAAAAAGCTTAACAAGCGCACTGTCGAAATTCTCGGAGAGTACCGTAGAAGGGTCAGTTGCTTTCGAAATCATCCTTCTGTACATTTTTTTCTGAAATAAAGATTTGTTGATTTCATCGAATGAACCTCTTCAGAAAGATTTAATGAAAGTGGTTGTGAATCCACTGATCCCTTTGATAGGAATGCTCCCACCCGCTTCAACTATTCGTAAACAGCTGCTGATGGTGTTTGATGTGTACTCACGGTGAGTGAAGCTTCTCTAATTATACAGTTGCAGTATAATGTAGTCAGTGTGTGGTAATAACGTTGCTAAGCTAAAGGTGGGATTGACAATGATTGCCCGGCGTTTATCCGTTCAAGTAGCTTAGAGCTTTTTACTGACTTCCAAACTTAATTGTTTTCCTTTCGGACGTGTAGTGAAAACAGAGACGATCTCCCATCATTTTGTATAGAGAATGGCAGTCATGGCTGCCGTCCAGCTTCATGAGTTGTAATCGCAATTGTGTCTAATAATGTGTCTCACTATTTTGGCCTAATGAAAGAAAAGTTCATAAAGAATTTGTTCAAAAAGTGTTCTGTTCAACTGTTCAAAAAGTGACGCTGTGAGAATGGTTCCGAGTAGTTGACTGTCATGCCAAACGGTTTTGTGAGAGAACTAGTTGGCAGAGACGATATTGTTGGAATTATAAGAAGTAATAGGATGGTTTCCGTTAGATGATCCTTCACTTCTGCCAGATTGCCGCTTTTTCCTCTATCTAAGTAAAGTGGCTACCATAATTCCAGGTACATAATGAACATGATGTTCTACTTAACTCTGAAAGCCGATTCTTTCTCAGAGAAAAAGGTGTCGGATGAGGCCATAGACGCGCATCCCGTAATGGGGACGATCAATAGATTTTCAGAGGTGATGGTTTATAAGTTATTTTTCTTCCTTCATTTCATTTCATAATACTTTTAGTTTGTGCTAGCCCTTTTCCTTAATTTCTTATATGATTCTTTTTGCGGTCTGAGGGTCCTAATTAGTCTGTTCTACAACTTTTGTTGCGAAAATGCCATATTTAAGATGATAAAGAAAGTTGATGCTTTCCTTGATAAAAATGCGAGCTCTCTGAAGAAGATGATCAAGAAAGCATCGGTTGGAAAACTTCTCGAGTCTGTTTCACTGGAACCTCCAACCAAAATCGTGCCTGAGGTAGTGTACCTTTATGATGTGGATTTGATTCAAAGAACTTTTTCTCCTATATCTCAAAATATACAGCTTACGATTTGTTCGGATACTTCGATTTCCTTTAAAAAAGTTTGGAACTTCTCAAATTTATCGTAGTCTCTTTAAGTTCCTTAGTAATCTGCAAGTAATTCTGATTATTTGAAGACAAAAATGCTGAAAGGATGAAACACTTGTAAGCAGTGAACGTTCCCGATTTTTAGACTGAAGCAGCTCAGACAATGGAGCAGAGTTCAGAGGTACCGCTTGATACTGAGGAGGACTCGGTTACCTTAGAAGAGCGAAGAAAAGCTGATAAAAGGATAGAAAAGAACAGCGCACCAGATTTGAAAAAGAGGAAGAAGAAAGAAGCCAGAATAGCAAAGGTAAATAGTTAGCATCTGAACAGTGCACAATAGTTGCTATTCTATTCTTACTAAAAGGAACAAGTTTATACTACACTACTAAGTTTTTTTTTGATGTGCTTCTCGTTCAACGTTTCAATTTTATTCTTATTAAAAGTATGTAACTACAAAGTATGTAACTACGCAGAGGATCAGTGGAAACCTCCCAGCTTTTTTCGGAGTTCATTCCCCTACTTCATGGCTGTTTTCGGTAGTTACCTCTCAATTTCCAAGGAAGGAAGATTTGATTGACACGCAAATTTTGATAACCTAGTTATGCAGCTAATTGTGACACCTCTTATCAAACCAACATGCTTGAAAGGCGTTTCAAATCAAATTATCTTCGAACGTCAGTGTTGATATCGTTGTTCTGGAAAGTTCGAAATTAGGTGGTGAAGCTCACATGGAATGCTTGTCAAATACGATAAGTGCTGGTGGCACTTTGACTATCGTTATGTTGAAACTGACCTGTACCATTTAAAAATTTGTTGACTACAATTACATCCAATAATTATAATTCAGCGGTAGGTATCAATCCTTGGTTACGAAGCGAATCCTTTTCTTCCTAGGCCATTTCGTTAAGAGCGCCAAAATTGCAAAATACCCCTCAATGGTATTTTTATGTCTTCACTTAAAGCATAAACGAGTATTTTGGACATACCTGAGCCGGGAACGGACAAAACAAGTTGGGCAAACTGCAGTTGTAGCCTTCTAATGCATTTGCAGACTAGCTTGCCTAACTCTAGTGGAGTTCAAAGTTTTGGGTCTCATCGATTAGGGCCTCATCGAGTATAAGTGCTGAATTTCATATTACACATTGACCATAGAGAGCTTTTGTAACTCCCATGCAATACCATTCACTATTGTCTAAAAATACTTGTTTCAGACAAAGAACCGTAAACGTTATAAGGAAGCTGTGAAAAAAGTGCATTCGCAAGTTGGTACATTCCGCAAAGAATTGGAGAAGTATACTGGTGAATCGAGAGGCATTCGCATAAGTACGGTAAGATCTACGAAGCTGATTGCATAGAATCAATCCAATCGGATCGGTTTCGTTGTTGATTGTTCCATACTCAAATGGTATCTCCTGAGTTTTTTTTATTGATTCAAAACATTGTGTATATGTTTTTACCGTACCATATTCATAGAAATATTGGTTTAAATCATGTGATTAAGTCATGTTGTAAGCCGTTTGAAGTCAGCTCACTTGGTAGTTGTGTATCATCGTGCAGCAATCTGTATCACCATTTCTGGCGCTTGTTTGTTTCGATGCTTTGCACTTTTGATCGATTTGTGGAACTGCGATGTCCCTTGGTTGTACGTCGAAGTCTTCTATCAGTTTCACAAGTTTTGTATGACTTTACATCTTTTTCCCTTCCTTGTTGCTCTCTTCAAAACTGTGAACTATTCTCGTAGTTTTATAGTGAAGAAGTGAATTAGGCGCAGTTTCTCTAGGCAACTGTCACGTCAATACGATTTCTCCTGCGCCTTATTTTACGCTTACTCATTCTCTGAATCGGCGTAAAAATGGTTACGCCTCGGCATTCCGAAGGGGAGCACAACAAGTTACTCGTATCAAATATCTACCACTCAGAGCTGTTTTACTTTAGTAGTCAAGAATTGCCATACATCATTGAGTGGCTGTTAGTTTCGAGCTCATTTCTCCACAAATCAATTCGATTCTAGAGCAACGTAGGAACTTTCCAGATCGCCTTTTAGAATGGATACCAAATTCTATCGATTATGAGAAGCAACTACTGAAATGAATGAGGTAGTGCAGTAAATCTATTACAAGTTATTCTCGGGTGTGCGTTGGTTTCTTGCACGCATCCGCTGTTGTCATGGTTTTGTCTCTATCAACGGTCGTGATTCATAGCCGTTCAAAGATGCGCGGACGCGGTAATTTTTCACAGTTAAAAGTTTTAATATTCGCTAGACCGGTAAGGCACTCTGAACGTAAACCATATCAGACTTGATAATCTGCCCCGCAAGAAAGTATGGTCCAGTTTTATGTTGGGTTGTTGTGCTCCCTTTGGTTACTGTTGAGCTTTCTAAATTATATTAAATTCCTGGAATACCACATTTTCACAGAGCTTATGTTTTCCACATGCTTGACATCACGCGATGACAACGACATTTCTAATGTGCCAGTCGTTTTTTGTCTCTGCTTCTATTGAAGACAGGGAAGCATGATCATTGTCTCGTTGTAGCATTTGGCGTTATCGATTTGTTGAAATATGATTTTTGTTGTTTTGTTGTTGTTGACTGAATATAAAGAGAGTCGAGAACTGTTGTCTGAAAACATCCATGATGCGGTTCGAAAGTCCGCGTTGTGATCAGTAAACTACTTGTTAGCCTTTCATAGAAATGGCGTCTGTTTTGCTGTCCTTGACAGTTGTTCCTTCATCGATTTTACTTTTTCTTTATTCTGTACACCTGAAAGGACATTTTAGATATTTGTTGATATGCCATGTTCAGATCGACCTTGGTGGATTTCACAAAAAATATGAGCCAAAATCGTTCGTTAGGCGAAGGTCGCATTTGTAGGGTAAGGTTTACAGGATTTTAAAAAATGTCTCAAACTCTTTCGAGTGTGGAATTATCGAATTAGTGTTAAATTGTAAACATATAGAAATCGTAGAGATTGTATGATCTACGGAAGTGTTGCCGTAATCTGTGCATACGGCTGAGGAAAGCGGGGGTTGCGAATGAATGACAACTTCGTCTCTGACAAGCTCAATCTAAGCATCTGTTGCTTGCTAAGGAGGGATTTGCAGGACTAAAGTAGGATTTAAAGTTGATACTGCTTTGAACAAAGGTGGTTATTGAATTGAGCGATAATTCCCTAAGATTAGTTCATTATTCGAGTTATTTCACATCTGCGTAACTACTGCAATTTTCCCCAGTGTGGTGAGCTGCTAAGCATAATGGNTGGAGCTTCCCTGCCTTTGTGTCGATGGTAGAATAAGTTTCAGTACTGCTTAGCTGCCTGCAATTAGCCGACCGTTCGCATAAAGTTGGTGAGTCCGGTTCGTGTGGGGGACCTAGTTGCTCAGTCCAGTGTATTCTTCCGACCTTCACCCATGTTTAGTGAATCACGCAAAATTAGTTACTTCTTTCCGCCGTTCTGTCTGTTTAGCCGAGGTGCCCCACTTCCTCCGGGAACGTCCGTGATTTTCTGCGTAGGTAGGACAGGCTTAAAATATCGACATATCTGGATTCCATGTGAGGTTCTTGATAGAGGAGCAGCAGTAGAAGTATTATTTCATTGTATAATTTCAGATGGTTAAAAAGTATGCATATATAAATGATGAACGTTTGGGGAATGTATATTTTCCTATAGCAGCTGCATGTATATCTGGAGAGTGCACTGATCTTCGCGAAAAATTTACGGTAAGTGTTGTCTGTTAAGTAATGTTATAGATTTGTCATGATTTCCAGAACTCCAATCTTTTGTCGATGAAAAACTGCTCTTATTGTGTAATAGCATAACGATCGCTGACTGAGGCACTGTGGTATAGCGTTATATTTGCAAGCTGTGGCTGTTACTCTAGGGCACTCCAGCCCTTCATTTGCATTTTTCTGCTTCTTTATATTCAGTGGCATCTCAAGCTTTTTACATACAAACATTTCAAATGGTCAACTGACTGTGGTTTTTATCGCTCTCTTACGTACTGGGCTGAATTAAACAACGCGTTCACTACAGCTACAGTCAGCAAATGTTGCCCTCGTACTGTACGTAGACTCTTATATACTGCTTAATACAGGGGTATCAGGGCAAAATTAGTGTTCGCCGAGAGTATTAAAATGGAGGCTTTTCGTTCTGAAATAACCTCACGATCATTGTACTACTGTTTTTCATCCCAGTTCTTTGAAATTTATTCCACCAACTCTATGATGTTTGTTTTGTTTCCATCACTCCACTCCGCTGAAACTTTAGTCTTTCAGCCTGACGAGGAAGTTATATTCACAGCGCAGAAGCAAGCACAACCTCAGAACGACTGTCAATTTGTTGCGACGTCAGTGATAAAGAAACGTGAATTGATACCAGTATCTGGAAAAATATGTGAAATTTACGACAAGTATGTTCTAATTTATGTACAAGCAATTATTTTTTTCTTTTTCGTTTTGAAATTTCTTGGTGCAGGCGAAGAATTCGTTAGTCTGCTCCTTCATAAAATATATGTATAACCTGTTTGAGGACGACTGCTTTCTTGTAGCTGCCATTCTAGTGCTACCGCTGGATACTTTGCTTTACGCATTTTGCAGTGTACCTTGCTGTTAGCTCTTTGCTTATTTCTTCGGTCACTTTTGTGGGCTCGGAGCTGTGATCGGTAGACAACGATAGATGCAAAATATATCTCAGATCACCTGCTAGTTGTAACTAGATTGGTTGCAAAATAACACAGAGGACTAAACAACATTCCAAATCATAGAAATATGACTTTACAAGCGCTGCGAACTGTGAACAAGTCAGAATCAAGGCCTTACGATTGAGTACTTCCCAGTACTCCGAGTTTTGTGAGCAAGCATCTTTCTGCGTTTATTATTCATCTACCAGTTTGATCAAACTTCATTTTCATTCAAGTTTCATGATTCTGTTGTACGTCAAGAGGCTTCATAATTCTGTGCTTATCTTTGAGTGCCTAATGTTTCCCAAATTCAACCTGTGGTCTAGATCGCTAGTGTGCTTCTATTTACTTTGTGCGAAGCTCTATCATGATATCCAGATATGTATCCATAATCGTTTTGCTTTGCTCTTCTTATTAGGCGATTCTGCTTTTTTATAGTTGCGCAGACTCTCCAAGCTTCTGAAGTGAGTAAATTTGATACGTTAGAATTGCTAAACAGGCGCGCAATTTCTTGGCCTGCACATCAAATTCGTTGAATAAAATCCTGCTTACACCCTAATTAATTTCGATTTTTCAGATATTGTTACGCTGAAGTTAAAAAATATGGACGCGTTTTCGTACCTTATTCGGCTAGAAACGATTTCAACAAACTTAATAAACCATGGTTGGGTTATGGTGCCGAAATGGATAAAGTAATTCAGTTGAAAGTGAGTACTTTTCATTCCTCGCTGGTTCACACATTTGTATGCGTGCTCTGGTGCTCTGGCTTTTGCACTCCCACCACCTTTTTGTCAGACAACGATGATGGGAAATAGCGGCTTTCTACTGAATATTTATTGAAGCAACTAGGCAAAGGGCAGTGACTTCGGAGATTTTGATACGCCTTCTTTCTCCCATTGTGATACGCAGACGTATAGGGAAAAACCTCTATAGCTTGGCTTTGAATGTTGTCTAGGTTCTAAATAAAGCTTCCGGATTTGAGACCATGGGGACGACAGGTCTTAAAACAGGTTCTCTAAAGCACTAATTTACCAGTTAGCGAGCAGCACTGTCACTTTACTTGAGATATGAGTACATGCTTTGGTGGGAGCCTTATAAGCGACCTCCAGAGATGAGTTAACATATTTATTTGTTTTTTCCACTCTCAGGTGGGGCAAAGTGAAAATTCATGCCGATTCTGTTTCAGATTTTTCGCCAACCAGATATCAAAAATTGTCGATATGTTGCTTGGAGTATAAATATGAATCTTGTAGATGAAAAGAAAGGCTTTGAAAAAGTGCCGGATACGGCCAATGGTCAGGTAAGTTGTGTGCCAAAAGGTTCCACGTTAGATTATCAACAAAAATGAAAACATTAGTTGATCGTTAACACAACCATTCTCGACTAAATATTGCATAATAACATGTTTACTAATGACTCTGACTGAGCTATTAGGCAAAAGCTATTCGTCCTGTGATGAGGTTTTTAGCTGCAATCCACACCAGTTAAATTTTGTGTTTAGATCGGTGTTATTGTTATTGTCCCATCGGATGGAGATTTAACCGTGTACTCCTCGGTGAGCTATTACTCGATTCTTTACTTTTCAATTGTTTTTCCTTTTTAGGTGTGAATTATAGGCACTTAAGGGGCTGTTAAGCTTCCGTCAACGTTTTTGGTTATGAATATTTTTCAAATTGTTACAGCAATCTGGGAAAGCAACGTTGCCATCATACTTGCGTGAATCGTGGATGAGTATTGGGACTTGCATTCGTTATGATGTTGTTAAACATATTGATGCGGAGTCACGAGCTATATGGATCGTACGAAATGTTGAAAATTTAGGACTGGTGAGTGTTGTGCTAATACGGGATATGGTACAGTCGCCCCATTGTCAAAAAGTTTTGTCCTTGTTGTAAGCTCTGCAGTGGATCACGTTGAATTCTTTAATACTTCGTTCCTGTTGCGAGCTCTGCTTTTCTTTTCTTTTTGTAGTTTTGACTTGTGTCCATTCTCGTATGTTGCAATCTCTCCAACTGTAACATTCACAGCCTATACTTACGGCATTTTCGTAGAGAGGGGGCCAAAACTATCGCGGGACAAACGTTATATCGTCGCAAGTGAACATTCAACTATTAAAACAAGCCAACTTGAGAAAATACCGACTTAAGCGTCGACAGTGATACGTGGGTTGTGTACGTGGCACCTTAGTCATTGCAAAAGCTCAAGCTTTTGCAATGAATTTTCGCGACTATTCAGATTCTTGTAAGACTAGCATTTTTTTTCGTTCCAGTGTTGACCACCCTGAAAAACACAGATTCCGGCCAGGGCTGCTTGGTGTTCACTCATCGAATCCCCTTCATGGAATTCCTGAACGATCTCTGATTTGTGGCGAGTAGCTTTGTCTTAATGAAATGCCCAGTTCGAATCGCCAATGTGCTCACTTGCTGTTTGATTCGGTTTTCAGGATCTCCGTGATAAGCTCCCCAGCAACTTTTACACCATGTGGTGAGATAGTGAGGACTCTCGCCCTTTTTCTCGAAAATTCCTCGTGAATCTATCCATAAGCTTCCTACCTTCACCCTTCCAATCTGCGGTTGTTCCCACCCCTTCAAAGCGCCTGATTGTCGAGTTCTGCAGCGGCTGTATGACATTGATTCGTTTGAAGGTGTTCAATCCCAAAAGTCCTTGTTAGGTGGAAACTGTAGATTTATAAACCGTGTGGTGACGCTCTCGCTCTTCTCTTTTCTTTTATATCTTTTGAAGGGCGCTCTATGAGCTACCAAGTATGCGCCAATTTCTGGACTCTCCACTCGAAGGCGAACAATGTCTCTGAACTTTAACCGGGAAATGCTTTGTTCAGTTGAAGGCAACTCCACAAGCATAAAGAGCTTTTTCAGTTATATGAAATTGTTGCTGATAATAAGGATCCATGCAAATTATTGTTACGTCTAAATGCTGTGGTTAATCGAGTATCGTCTAGTACGCATAATGCATGGTTATGGAACGATATTATTGGTAAGTGAAGATTTTTACGAAATGTAGCTCACGGATGTCTTGAGAAAGCTAGTTTTCAGGTAGGATTTTTGTCCCTACGCAGCAGTTCAGCCATCGCTTACGTGCAATGGTCTGCGTGAAGATAGTTGCATCATGGACCGGTACATTTGAAGATGTTCCGTGGACTGCTACAGATTTAGAGGTATGTGTTTTCAAAGCCTTCCAGTTTATCAAAACTTCACTACTTTACTTAATTTTCTAAGCAATCCAATCACAAATTTCAAAAAGAAAATGGGGCTCCCACTTTGGAAGGGACTAAGTTGTGATTCTTTAGATCTTCCTTTGTAATGGGCTTTGGAATGTTCTTGTGCCATTGAAAATTACATTAATTATCTCCAATTTCAGTTCTACCAAATATCTTATACGCTCTCTCTAGTGGTAGTAGCGGTATTGCGATTAATACTGTGAAAGAGGCAGGTCACCAAGTGCCATCGCCGTCAGGGCCGACCTTTTTCCGACGCGTCATTTTTTAAATGTTAATGGTAATGGTTCTGGTACGACTCAACAAAACCACTGCGCTCAGTGACCTGGTTTTCATAGGTCGGCCATAGAGAAGCGCTTCGATTCACCATCTTTGAAGGCGTTGCCTCTTTACACGCTTCAATAGTTTACCTTAGAAATGGTGGATGTAGTGGCAAGCGGCGCACTTCACCCGCGCATGGTCACGGGCTCGAATCCCTAGTCGATATCCGCCTAGGCCAACCAGGCCATCCATCCCTGGTTAATTGGTATCATCTTGTCTGGGAGGGTAAAAGCACTGACTCGTACTTCGGCTGTCCACCGCTAGTCATTGTTTAGCCATATACAAATTCAATACGCCACTACGATATTGAATGGAAGTTGAATGCTTGTAAGCATCCTTTAGACCTTCTTCACCTTAGCAAGACTCTGAATACAACAGTTAAAAAGCTTGAAAGCTGGTTCTTTGTATATTGGCAGTCCAATAATTGGCTTTTCCGCGCGGTCCCTTCACCCAGAATATGTTTTTTACAGCTTCAGCCTGACAGCTGATTTTGACTGTGTTGTTGCATGTCAGAGTCTATCAGTAAGATTACTAAAGGAGCATTGTTTAGGCCATATACATACATATATACTTAAAAGAGCAGTATTACAGTGCACACTTTCTTTTCTGCGAATTTTTTCATTTTCCATTTGTGCCTAAGGAATCTGTGCAATCTTCGAGAATGGTTAGATTTATTGAAAGTAGTCTTTGTCAAGCGTGAGAAGTGTTTAGCTCCTAGGAGTTCGAGTGTGAGACATTTCGAACTAAAAATTACCGCTTGAATCCTTAACTAATTTAATCAGTCCCTCGATGTTGCGATACTCTGGCATCTGGCTGTTTCTGAAGTCTGTACTTCTGCCTTTCTTTGGGGAATGTTATTCAGAGCTCCACAAAACCCCTTGAATATCTTTTCTTTGTTCCCTGTCCAAAGTCTCGCTGTCATACTTTAGGTGCTTGGTGATGATGCTGCTGTACGCGTTCAAAATGCGTCATTACTGCAGACAGATGATAATTGGACGGTTAATATTATTAGGGAGGTACGAAACAGATAAGTGGTATGTTTAAAATTGGAATATCGTTTGTTTTCCAGGTTTCAAATGTAAATACAAATCAGCCCACATTTTTTGGATTTATCAGTAATCCTAAGCATGGCTCTGCTTTTATCGCATGGACAGATTTAACGCAAGGTGATACGCCTCCTGCCCCGGATACCAAGTGCAGGTGTGAAGGACTACCTAAATGTTTACAATTTCTTTTGAAATTCTAAAAGATATCGAGTTAAAATCGCGAATATTATTACTTGTCGTCTCATTGGTCATATTTCTACTCGATTGGGTTCGGGTAATGTCTCCATTAGTCTTTGAGTCAAAGTAGTCTACTGGATCACTTCGCTTGGGAATCAAACGAGGTTAAACCTTTCGTTTCTAGCTTTCCTGAAGAAAACTAATAATTGGGCTGTCGGCCATGAGATTCACCTCCAAGGCATAAGCGGCATCTTCCCCGATCTTCCTTTATTGGCGGAGCTCTGAACTCGCATGCTGACACTGCCTGGATTAAGTCCAAGTTTCTGAGGCATAGGTCAAGACGGAACAACTTTCAGAAAAAAGGCTCGCTATCGGATATTCCTCACATTTTCAACCCATTGCGTACCGCGTGCTGCACATGGTGAAGCACGCCCCTCTGCCTCTCGCGTCCGCATTTTCGTCCAAAATCACTCTAGTGTTTTAACAAAGTTCGAACAACCCATACTGTCCGTTCGCTCAAACAACCGCTCTGGGTGACTGCGTGCTACGCGCCGTGAACCACGTCGTCTGCGTCGATTCTGAAGTAAACGCCGGGCACATGCGGCAGCTAGCGCAAAACACTGCGGTACGCAATGGGTTAATTACTCCCTCTATGTTATTAGATGTCCCTTACACCAATGGTTCCTTCTGCCCAGATCTGATGCTAACTCGTTGATCTTCTTAACTCGCCGACCCAAATACACATAGCTGGCACATCGGAAGTATCCATTCTGTGCAGCATGGAATAAGCACAAGGTATCAGTCCATTTCTCATCAACATCGTCTTCTCAAGTTGGGTCACTAACATCTCATCACAAGTGTTGTAGAAGTCGTCCAGCGCGCTCCCCGTTTGCAAGGCAGAGATGGTGTAAGTAGCGTCCGTCGACTTTCACTCCCATGTCTTCCACATCCAAATGATCCATGGTCTTCTAGAAAGCGGCACTGCGAAATTTGTGCGAGCTGGTATATTTCTGTCGAAACACTCTCTTCGCGTTCTCTGACCAGTTACTCTCTCTTGTTGAATGGCCATGTATGCTGGTCGTTAAAGGCAATGTTCACGAAAAAGTGGTTTCGGAGATTTGCACATGGTTTGAATTCGAAGCCGCCTCTGATACCATTTGTGCAGGAATGTGATCGGAAAACGGCTGGATAGGGCACAATAAGGGCAGGAGTAGTGGGGGACGGGAGGCCTCCGCCCTTCGCTAGGCTGACTACGAGTTCTAATTGTCCTTCACCACTTTCGCATTGGAGCGAAGTTGATGAAGTCGATAAGCTGGTTGGCAAATTGCAGAGACGCAATGTGTTGTCTGCTATTGCTATTGCAGACAAAACATTGCGTCGCCTTCGTGCACTCGCCCGAGGGACGGTACGAACGTGCGTCCGAAGGCGCGCGCAGCAACTTGCGCGGCGAAGGTCGTGACGATTTGTATGTCTCTGACGCCAATTTTCGGGGCACAAACTCTAAGTAGAGTAGTTTATTAGGGTCAGATGATCCTTCTAAACTATTCTACTTCGAATTTGGGCCCCAAAGATAAGCGCTGAAGTCGTTCAAATAGTAACGAACTTCGCCACGCAATTTGCCGCGCGCATCCTCGAGCGCACGTTCGTACACATACCCCACTCGCCCGAACACTCCCTAGCCGCCGTCCTTTCAATGTGTAACTCGTCCAACCCCCCTTTCCAGCTCTTTTTTTTTTTGACCCTTTGTAATCTTTTTGTTCATCGTTTTTTGTCCTTTTTTCGATGTTATCGCTTTATTCTAGAGTAGTTCTATCAATTCCCGTCAAAAAAGGGTACCCTAACTTTTTTGTGAACGGTGCCTTTAGGCTGCTGTAGAGCACCTTATATTTTGAGTGGAAAAATGTGGTCAGTTTGAAGAAGTTCTTTAACGCTATGGAAAAAAAGTGGCTACCTAGTCCTGGTCGCGCAGGGCATCAATGACTGCTTCGGTCTCCACAGTCTCCAATTCGATAAGCGTTAAACATAGCTGTTTCTCTACTTTTGCAGCACTGCTGTCACTTCAATATTTCTTGTTGTCGTGTGGAATTGTTCGATTGATCAACCTTTGAACCTTACTTGCCGTACGACTGTCCATTAGTCATCGTTCGGCCAATCCTGCCAAGGATGATCGCAGGAAAAGCCCAAAGACTATAGAACTAGGCTGGCCCGGCAATAATTGTCACTGTCGTCTTGGTCTCACTTCTTATGCAAAAAGAAAGTCTCTCGGCTCGGTCCTTACATATGCTTCGTTGTCTAAACTACGCAGCTCTCTCCACACATTGAAAAAAATCGAGCGCTGAGGGGAACATGCTCCATTCTCATGTAAACTTCGAGACAACACCAAGGTCTGTCAGGCAAAACATTTGATCGAAGATGACGCGATCTATTTCATTACAAAACTGTCCTGAGGATTCTTACGTCCTCTAAAAGCCTCTAAAGTATCTATTTATAATCTATTGTATCGATGGGTATGATAATCTCAATCAGTCGTCCACGCTGCTCGTTCCATTCCTCTCTTTGAGTCTCGGTGTTAAGCTTTTCAGCCGTTCTTAGGGTCTGGCTTGGAATTGCCGACAACAGCATATAGGGAAAAGTATGTCTTCATTGGGAAAACGTCCGTTGCGCGCTTCCATCTAAAGTAGGTAATCCCATTCACTTCGCGCGCGGCGCATCACACTGAGGTCTCGAGATGACATTACAGTACCACCAAATGTCAGTGAAGCAAATGATTGTCTGTGTTAGCTTCACTTTGAACTAACGACCGTTGACCAAGCGGAAATCGTATGCCCCACTAATAAATGCGACATCCGTCAAGTATCGCGGGCTGAGCTGCCGCGTGCGACGTCTGCGGCGTGACCTAGTTTCGACGGACGCGCGCAACCAAGTCACCGTAGCGTTGGTTGGATTTTTAGAAGTGATGTCGGACCACATTTTCTAAATCGCAAGTATCCGATTGGGGTATGTGGATTGTATAGTGTGGACTAGGAGGATCATCTGACCCTACTAAACTACACTACTTCGAGTTTGTGCCCCGAAAATGGGCGCCGTAGTCGTACAGATCGTCACGAACTTCGCCGCGCAATTTGCCGCGCGCACCCTCGGACGCACGTTCGTACCGTCCCCCATCCGATTGGTGTTGTCAAACATTCGTACGAAATGATGTTGATGGCCAAGGGCCTTACGAAGACTACCACAAAGACGCCTACAAAGACCACTGACGTTTCTGCTGCCGTATTTTCCAAAAGACAGTTTTTCTCCAGTTTCAAAAGGCGAGCAGCGTGCACTGTTTTCCATCGCCTTCACTCGTGCCTGATCCTTCAACCTTCCACCACCTGATCTTTAACACGCTATGATGCAGCTGCCCATGTGTTAAAAATCTCCATCTCTATCTTAGTTCTACTTTGTATGGGCGGCATGTAGCTTGAGATTTACACAGATTTCTTGAGCCTACGCTGCCATTTAGCAGCTCATTTAGGTTAAGAGGAACGAGAATCATTCATAATGTTTCCAGTATATGCGTACCAGCGTGTACATGGTGTGCTACGCTCTGCTGTGGGGGCTCCANGGGCTCCAGGCAGCTAGCCAAGCTATCTCCTGGAAAACAAAGGAGATCGTTCTCTGACATAATTAGTCCCTCGAATAGTTTCCAGTCACGTGAATGCTTTGACTGAGCCAACGAATGCAGCTCGAACTTAAAACACATGAGTGCATAAATGCGTCTGCGATAGACAGAACATATGTTTCCACTCTGCTAAGCAGAAATAGTGAATCCAGCTGCATCTCTGGGCAGCTACCTGGCTACTGTTTCGCCATCTATTCGACACATGTGATCGCGCCACGTAACTTCGCCTTTAGCCGTCTGAAATACCTAAAGGCACAGTTCACGATATTTTCGAGGTACCCCTTTTCAATTGAAAAGCGGAAGTATAGGTTGGGAATAGTTTATCGGTAGCGATGAAAGCAAGAGAATTTGCCGATTTCTTGAAAAACAAGGCGCTTCAAAGTTAGTGAAATGAAAGGTTCTACGAAATTACTATGATGGAAATGACATTGAAGGGATATTTGGACGAGATTTCAGTTGTTGCAACTGCGCAAAGTGCTGACTACTTCATGCCAAAACTATCCAGAATTGCCTTTCACTGTCGCTATAGTTCATGTCAAAGTGTTTAGACTTTTCACGTGGGTTCCCTTGTGATCGGTGCAGCCGCTACAATGCCGGCGAAATTCGTCCGAGGATACGGTGCAATCTTTGGGTCTTTATAACGCCCTAACCGGGCCGTTCTCCGACCTAAAAGCGCCAGATGTGGTGTATGAAAATGTCTGGAATTCATCCCATGGGGAAATCTCAGAAATCTTTTTTTATCAAACATTCGAGCAAGAGATTTTAAAAATTACCGTATTTCGCTATAAATGTATAGTTTTTGCTTTCTTTGGGCAATTTTTTTGTTCGAAACAGTGCTTAATGTAATATCTATTTCGAACAATGTTATCCTGTTGTTTTTAGAGCTACCGTGTTTTTCCAATCTCGAAATGGTAAGCACTCTTGGAGAGCTGTGCTCGTAACGCCATTGGGTAGCGATGGTTTTCCTATCTGGCAACATCCGCTATATAATCATTCGGGACGGCTTTCTCTTCCGGAACATCCGTTCAAGGTATAATTATGANTTAGGTTTCGGAGGAGAAGAAACTACTAGAATTCTAGAGGAGAAATCCTACTGCTTGGAGATATAATATTAGGTTGAGGGACGAATGCTCCGGTAGAGACGAGAAAATGAAGTTTCGAGGCCCGCATTAGTCAGTTTCGGTTACTTTAGTGCTTTCCTATGACGATTTTTTTCGAAGCTCCTAGAAAATGAGAGGATTTTGACATACACAGACCTCGAACAGTCAGGATAGTTTTATTCCTTTCTTCGCGTTTTCTTTTTCGGAAGTTTTTGCAAAGGTCGATCATGATTTAACTGCTGACTAGAACGACGACAGATTGTGCAGAATTTCATCAAGTCATAATCTTTCAAGATTCGGTGGTCGTTAGTGCAGAGAAGGGGTTTCAGAAGTGCGTTGAAGTCGTTTGATTTTGTCTCTGGTGAATAATTTTTCATCGCTACAGCAGTTCTGAATCATCTTAAACTGAATAGTTTTATGCTTCTTTTGTCTATACGAGTCGCTCGGCTTGTTACAAGACAAAGAAAACTCGTACTCTCTAGACACACCTTTTATCAAATGAAAAAAACCCCTTTGGCTCATCTGCATGTTCTGAAAAGGGGGACATTTATTTGAGAATGAAAATCACCATGAAAAATAGAGCAGAAAAGCGCTTCGAAATGATCATCACCTCACAGTAGCTTCGAAAGTTTGTTTAAAAACATAGCTCTCCAGGCTAGAACATTGAAATCTACAAGTGCTTTCTTCCCAACCTAATACCTGCGGTATTATTGAAAGTTAAGGCTTGGGTAAAAGTTCATTCCCATCTTTGTTTCAAGCTTTTGCCAAGAGAATTTTTTTCAGCTGCCGCCTCCGACGTTGCCTTCGGTAGGAACGTTACCAGTCAGCGGTCCTTTACCACCATTAGACGAAGCTAAGAAACAGGACAGGTTTTTCGCACCTGCGGTTTCCAACACTCTCGAAAATATGTCACCTTTGTCATCGATTATCAGCGAATCCCCTGAAATATCGCCAGCTCCATGCCTATTCTCGTCTGACGTCTCTGATGGTTATTTGAACCAGGACATACTCGATCACCTAGACCTTGGCAAATATACTTCCTGCCTATTTCCACACACCAATAATGATCGCATATGGGCAACGACGAAGCCGCTGAGTGTGTTCCCGTCATCTTTGACAACGACCGAGCCTCTTCTAACGCCAGCTTCTCGGTGAGAATTGTTTTTAGTCAATGAATCGTTGTAGTAGCGTTGTTTTCGCTTTGATTTGCTTGCTTAAGTTTTTCAATTTTTCTCAAAAGCGACTTCGTTAACAAGGTTGCATTGGCTTTTCGTTTAACAACTTACCGTTTAGTAGAGTACTGGTAATGAATGTAAATCCCGCCCGTCGATTCGACCATTTCAGGTGGTGACTTGATACGTTATTGAGCCGCAGCCCTTTTTGAACTTCTCAGGAGTTTTTATGAGTTGATGGATATCAATAACCTAGACCTCTGCGGATATTTTCCGCATTCTTGGGACATCGTGGAATTCAATCATAAATGGATGGCTCAAACTAGGTCCATTGCATAGGCCTCATACAGAGTGGGGATTTCTTCCCCATGAAACGCTTCTCTTAGTTAGCTCTCATCTTACCTGTTCCTCAAAACCTTCACGAGACGTCAAACCTTTCACTATCCTTACCTATCCATGAGCAGACTACCCACATAGTGCAGGTCTCTTTTCCTTCTCTCAGGCTGCTACCCTAATTTTTTGATGGCCGCTTTCCGAAAAAATCGGGCGAATCAGAAAGAACTGTTACCTTGTACGAGGGCAGGAGATCGTAATAGTGACGTGCGTTGGGAATGAACGAAGCCATTAGTGTTACTGCATGGGAATGCGTGGCAATTCTATTGCTCATTTTCTCATCTATTTCCTAATTTAGTTTTCTGGGAGCTACCGTAGTAGGACGATGCTTTTCCTTTAGTTTGTCGCCCACCTCGCCTACAAGTAGCGATGCGGCAACGCAAACTGATATTATGTCTGAGCAGGAGGTGTTAAAGGATATTATGGATAATAAGGATTTGTTTTTTAAGGTCAGTATTTACTTTGCTTTTCTTTTTTATAGGTAAGAGGTAGACTTTTCTAGGAATGGCTGTAACAGACTTTGAAGGGGTTCTTTGAATACTTTGTTCTTTGAATACAGAGAAATAATCTGAGGGATTTCAGGTTGCGGAAAGCCTTCCCCAGCATTATAATAGGCTGATGGATATACGTTTACAGAGGATTTGAAATACATGTTGTTGTCAGTGAATTCCATACTGAGGTCAATTTTGACATAAGGTTCACCGTTATTTGTAGATCCAGCACTAAACTCCATTTGAATATTCAAAGAGTAGCAAAAGTGAAATAAAGCATTATTAACATTATTAGTACGTGAATAAACAATCGTACGTTATGAAACTGTTGCTTGAGTCTTCCACACAACGATGGATATTACTATTTTAGCTGAATATGCTCCGTTCTATGGTGTCATGGTGAGCCTGTAGATTGACATAATTTTCGGTACTTCAGAAAAGATTGCTGGGAGATCGAAAATGAAATTTATTCTGTCAAACAGCAGGTGCCCTTATTTGGAAAGTAGCGATGATATGAAGTAAAACTGAATTTGTAATATATCGAGATCAAGGAAAAAATCCTCCAAAAGTCTCCATTCGGGTGCAACCACAGAAAAAGCAAGATTTGGGCACGCTGGGCCGCCACTTATTCTTTTAGCTTATGGAGGGATATGGTAGTGGACGTCGTCGATTTAATTGAAAATACCAAACAGTCATGCAAAAAATCATTCTCGCTCAGATACCGTTCTTCTATCCTCAAATAGCTGCCACGAAAACTTTAGCAGGAAGTTACACCAGCTGGTCATGATGCCATTCGCCACAGAGGGACTAATCGGAAGATCCAGATACTTGTTTACTGGCGACTTTCTGCAAATCTCCAAACAGGATCCACGGTGAAACATCAGAAAGGAAAACTGCCGGCTTTCAGATAGGATCACAACTTTCGAAGTTCGGAGTTTATACCTAATCTTCCCTAGTAGAGGTACGGAAGAAACATAAGGGCAAAGGTTAGCCTTCAGTGATGTGGTGGAAGGGTTTTTTTCTTCACATGGATGGTGGCTACGTTGTGGTCACTTGAAGAGAAGTTAAGTATTAAGTATTGGCGTTAATTGGCCCTATTTCCGAGATGTTTCCCCACATCAAATTCTGTCTAGAGTGGTTAGGGTAGGCTGTTTTCGGAGCTCGCGGTTTCTACATTAACCTTTCGTGGCCAGTCATGTTCAAGTCGATGCTTTGGTTTCCAAGACGAATATGAAACCGATTAACCAACCCCGCAAAGATAGAATCTTGGTTGGCTTGGGCGAGTACCAATCCAAGCTTTGTTTCCCAAACCATGCAATAGTCCACCACTTGCCAAGACACCGCTTCCCCTGCCTTCCTTAATGAGTGATGGAAATTCTTTTTGGTGTATTGGTCGAAAGTTGTGTGGTGAATTTAGGAACAAGCCTGTAAACATGTACAACCTCCACATTTTTGTATAGAAGGAGGTAACTCTCAAAGGAAGGGCCAGGTAATAGACAGAATTTCATGAAGTGGTATGGCGAAGCTGACATTTTGAAGGAAAAGTTTTTCATGAAAATCGCTTGCGGCATCTTCTTCATGGTAAAGCTACCTTGTAATTTTGACAATTTTTGGGAGGTAGGGAGGGGGGCGGGGCGGATACACTCATGAATACTGCGGAAATAGGAGAATTAGTGGTATCCAAACAAATGTTCTGGGACAACTGCAGCACGGATGAACAAGTAGCAAATCCTTCAGAAACTTTAGAAAATTGTAACCACGAAAAGAAAACTGCAGCATTCTGGACACCGTAATGATCAAATCAAGTACGCGTGCTTCCGTGATCCTCGCCTCATGTCTTTTCTGGATCGTTGCTTGAATTTATATCATCTAAATACTAAATGGATGCTGGCCCATTCAATTTTGCTTCTCTTTTATATTTCATTTCAACTTCAGTATCAATGATCAGAATCACTCAGCAACAGGTCACTCCGTTAGCTAGAACTACTTCCATTGCCGCTAAACTGAAAAGCGTCTGCGTGAACTGCGTTCAGTCTGATGCGAACATTGTCTCTGTTGAGCAAATTTTCTCTCCCTTAAACTTCCACATCTGCAGTATGTGATCGTCTGATAGGATGGCGATTATTGGACTGTGTGGAACTCATCACGGAAACTCAGCCAGCACTGGTTCGTACTCGTTCTAGGAGGTTTTTTGAATGGGCTAACCAGTGATTGATTTTTCCTCTTTTGCTGTGGGTTGGAAGAAACACTTGTGAACATTTTAAGTAAAGGTGGCATACTACCTCTACTTCAAACACTTGACCTTCTTCCACTTCCTAGACTGCCACACATTCTTGTCCTTGAGCTGGTCCTCTAACGAGCTCTCTCGAGTGTCTGGCAGCAGCGCCACATAAAGGACTCATTTGACACATTGATGGAGGGTCTTCGCTTCTACCTTATATTATACATTTCTCGACTTCCAGACTTTCAACGTATTTGGAATTTTGGAGTTTCGAGTTTTCAGAATACCTGCTCAGGATCACTCCATTACTGTGTTTGGATATTTTTCTACCTTCCTGCTGATGTTCTGTTTATTTTGTAGACCCTTTTCTGATAAGGAGCACCTCAAAAATCGTTTTGAGAGTTTGTGTTCTAACTACGTAAACATTGGCGGTTACTTGTTTTCCATGACACCCTCTACTTCGTTTTCCAATGTGTTCCCAACTGATCCTTATTTCTTTTCTCGACCCGCTCACCACCCTGGTGCTGAGTTGAGAATTTGCAGAAATCATCGGCTTTAGGCTCCAATTATCAAACGTAGGTTTCT